CCCATCCCCCCACCCACCTCCCCTCTGGCAACCACCAGTTTGTTCTCCATATTTAAGAGTGTGGTTTTTTGTTTCTCTCTTTTTGTGTGTTCATTTGTTTCTTAAATTCCACGTATGAGTGAAATCATATAGTATTTGTCTTTCTCTGACTGGCTTATTTCATTTAGCATTATATTCTGTAGATCCATCCATGCTATTGCAAATGTCAAGATTTCATTGTTTTATGGCTGAGTAATATTCCATTTTATATATATATATATGTGCACATATATATATATAAAATTTCTTTATATGTATATATGCCACATCTTCCTTATCCATTCATCTATCAGTGGACACTTGGGCTACTTCCCTATCTTGGCTACTGTAAATAATGCTGCTATAACCATATCAGAAGCAGAAGCATATCTTGAGAAAGAACAATGAAGCAATGCAGTCCAAGGCCTGCAGACCTCTAAAGGTCTTCTTCTCCCCAGAAGAAATATTAGAGCAGTGGATTGTGGTACATGTACTTGGGGCTCCTTGGGGCATTGTAAGGAATTCACAAGTCTACACGTATACCAGGTGTTGTTTCTAGTCCGAATACTTGATTTGTTTCACTATGAGCTGCTGTTTTTCAACTATATAAAAATACTATTGAGCTTAATAAGATGAAATTCATTTAAAAGCATTACTAAATTGGGGCTCCTGGGTGGCTCAGTCGTTAAGCGTCTGCCTTCGGATCAGGTCATGATCCCAGGGTCCTGGAATCAAGCCCCGCATCGGGCTCCCTGCTCAGCGGGAAGCCTGCTTCTCCCTCTCCCACTCCCCCTGCTTGTGTTCCCTCTCTCTCTCTGTCTCTCTGTCTCTCTCTCTCTGTCAAATAAATTCTTTTTAAAATTAAAAAGCATTACAAATTTAAAGTATATTTTTCATTACTTTTTTCCCCTCAACAGAATATAAAAGAACAGGGACTACCACATAAGGAATATATTTTGGGGTATTGAAAGAGATTGAATAAAAAGTTAAAACCATTGTTCTAGAGTTGTATACATAAGAGTCCCAAGGAATTGATAGATTAAGTATCATTCTGACAATTCTCCATAAATGGTTTTTCTCATCCTTGAGATTTTGATGTCACCTCTAGTTATAATAAACAGCATTCCTAGTAATGGTATATTTAAAAATTGCTTTCTCACAAGCATAATAAATAGCATTATTAGTACCAATACATTAAAAAATTGTTCCCTCACGAAAACACTTGCAGTGGAACCCAGAAACAAAAAGTGGAGATTGGAAGGAATGGAAAATGGGCCCAAATACAGTCATTATTGATTAAGAAAACTGGCACATAGACGATTGAAAGCCTTGCTCCAGGCAAGCTCTCCTTGCTTGTTTGCGGATTTACACAAGAGTTGAAGTCACCCAAGTCAACTTACCTGTACTTTCTCTGTTGCAGGAGACAGAACCCGATTTTGATAACTGTGCAGTTTGCATTGAAGGGTACAAGCCCAATGATGTTGTGCGGATCTTGCCCTGCCGGTGAGTCACTGGGCCACCTGCTTTTGAATGGGGTGTGTGTGGAGAGTGCTTGCTGGCTTCACTGGCTCAGACCTGCTTGGCCTCTTGGCCTACCCCTGCAAGGTCAATCTGCCCAAACGTTTCTGGGTTTAGATGGCAAACAATCAAAAAGCTTCCTCTTTTTGTGTAACCTTTCTCCTTGAAAACATGTTTTCTTGTGAAATAAATATTTTTCTGGTCTTTTTGTACCAAAGGAAGCGTACTGCTATGAACTAGAACCTCATGATAGGGAATTTGATGATGTGACTCCAAGTATGAGTTTTCTTTAACAACAAAATTATGATATTCACATTCAGTTCTTCACAAGTGCTGTTTTAACTTAATTAATGAACTCATAAAATTATATCATGAATTGGGGCTCCTGGGTGGTTCAGTGGGTTAAATGTCTGACTCTTAATTTCGGCTCAGTTCATGATCTCCGGTGTGAGACTGAGCCCCGAGTTGGGCTCCGTGCTGGGGGTGTGGAATCTGCTTAAGATTCTTTCTCTCCCGGGGTGCCTGGGTGGCTCAGTCATTAAGCATCTGCCTTCAGCTCGGGTCATGATCCCAGGTCCTGGGATCGAGCCCTGCATCAGGCTCCCTGCTCAGCTGGAAGCCTACTTCTCCCTCTCCCACACCCCCTGCTTGTGTTCCCTCTCTCGCTGTGTCTCTCTGTCAAATAAATAAATAAAAATCTTTAAAAAAAAATTATTTCTCTCCCTCTCCCTCTGCCCCTCACCCCCCTCTCTTTCTCCCTCTCTCTCTAAAAGAAAAAATTTATATGTTGTGAATAATCATGAAGAGATCAACAGCCAGAATAGGGTCAGGAGTGAATGGGAAGCCCAAAGCAAATTCCATTTCCTTTGTGTTTTTTTTTTTCTGGGGGAGGAGGTGGTGTTTATTTTTTTATCAGCAGGAAGGAAATGTGACAGTCACCCCAAAATTTCTAGAATCTAGGGGAGGATGCCAACATGTGTGGTTGGAAACACTTCCCAAGTGATTTTCATATAACCCTAATCTTTCTCCCTAACTGAAATTTACCATTAAGGTATTTGAGTTTTTTAATATAGTTAAAATTAAATAAGTTTAAATACTTCAATAAAATCAGATATTTTAAAGTTGCATAAAAGTTGTCTTCCTATAATTGAAAACCTTTTTTTTTTAGTGTTGTTGCATCTGTGAAGTATCCTAAAAATAAAAAATTATCCCTTGAAGAAAGGTTCTTCACTCAGAAAGATGAGCTTTAAAAATCCTTAAGGGGCACCTGGGTGGCTCAGTTGGTTAGGCACCCAACGCTTGGTTTTGGCTCAGGTCTGATCTCAGGGTCGGGCTCCACGCTCAGCGTGGCTTCTGCTTGGGTTTCTCTCTCCCTCTCCCCCTCCCTCCCTAAAATAAATAAATAAAATCTTTTAAAAAATTCCCAAGGGTACTTAATAAAGTAAATAAAATACACAAAGATATAAAGCAATGCACCTTTAAGAACTATTTCTTAAAAATAAGAAAGAAATAAAATATGCTTGTAGAGGAATTAGTTTAATAAACACAAAATGACAAGTGTCAAAAAAGGACAAGATACGTGAATAGATGCAGAAACTCCCAAGGGGGATGGATCTTTCTTGAAATGCTTTTAGGCAAAAGGATCATCAGGAAAGGGCCCTGGGGAGAGTGCACTGTGCTGGCCCCAGCCAAAGCCTTCAACTGGGATTCACTTTCCTTAGGTTCTAGATGCTTGACTAGCTCTAAGACAAAATCATAAATTGGGACACATCAAGACTTGGTGGTTTTCTTCCTATAAGGGAATATATAAATTATTTCTTTAGACATTACGCTTGGTATTTACTTGGTGACTTCTAGAAACCTGGCAAAGAATGGCGGGCAGTGTGTGAGCCACAGAGAGCCTTTCAGGGTAGCGTCTGTTATCTCTGCAATATTTTACTAAGGGTTTTATTAACCCTCATAGTTAAAAGCAAGGAACCTGCTTTCCTAGAGACTGTTTAGAGCCCTGTGAGGGTACTACTAATAAAAAATATCCAAAGCAAATTTAAGTTGAATTGCAACTTTTTCCTGAGAATCTAAACGTAATTAAGAAAATCTGTTTTTAAAACTATATATAGCATTACTTTAGCTCCATAATGCATACTGTATAAAATAACTTATTCATTTGGGGCTCTGTCATGAGTCTATTCCATGTTACTGCATTGAATTACTAGAAGCTGCATAATATCCAAGTGATAGATGTGCCACAATTCGATTTACCATGCCCCTGTTGTGCAACATTTGGCTGGTTTCAGTTCTTAATTATGATAAATTACATTGCTTTAGCAGTGTTTAGATTGTCATGATGTATTATTCCAGAACTCTTACAGTATAATTTTTGGAAATATTAACCAAGGAAATAAATTTTTAATATTTAAAAAAAAAAAAAAACTTCAGGAACTTTAATTTTATTTATACTAGCCCTTGCCCTAAGCCAGTTCAGTGTGACCTAAAACTCTTCCCTTTTTACATTATTATTTGGTTCTCGGCTCATTTCTTGATACTTTTTGCCTCAAGCTTCTTGCTGTCCATCTGCTTTTATTTCCTTATTGTGTAGACCTGGCTTTAAATAACAAAATATATTGAGAATCACCAAGCACAACTTAGAGTTATTTGTTATTTGATCTTAGATGAGCCCTATCGATACTTACTCTTTGAAGAGCTCATCCATTTTTTTTCCATGCTGACTTTAAAATCAAGATATTTTTATGCCTGTTGCTTGTTTCTGCCAGACAGTTTGCACTAATGGATGTTATCAAACAAATGCACTGGCATTTGCTTTTTGCTACGTAATTTCTTCTGGGGTATTATTAAGCCCTAGCTCCTATGAACTTTGTAGACTGTCTTTCTCATTATTTCCAGGCTGACTCACCCACAGAATTTTTTGCATCTCCTTGGAGTAGAAACCATTTCAAAAAAAATGATCCCGTTTTTGTCTTCCTTCTTTTATACTGTTTTCTGTGGCCTTCTAACTCCTCACCCGCTGGGTGTATCACTTCTCCATTGTGGCCACTTCGGGTGTCTTTCCAAATCGCTCTGGGATATTCTTGTACCGTGATTTTTTTCAGAATCATTCTCTTGTTTGCCTCTTTTAGAAACCGTTGCACAAATTAGGATGAATTAATAAATGATTTCCCCTCTTCCTTTGTCATCATGGCGATTACTAAAGTTAAGTCATGCGCATACACACTTACCCTTTCCCTCTTGCTCTGCCTCCCCTAGGGGCCTTCTCCAGCGCAGGCCGGGGAGGCTCCCCATGCGTGGGGCCAGCCGGACATGCGCAGCTGCAGCAGCACACAAAGCACCTCAGGGTCAGACAGCTCTAACTTTTGTGGTTTGGGTTTGATCCTAATACTCCACTGGGTTATTGTCCAAAGAACTTTGGTTTTTGCTTAGAGCATATATATGCCAAAATCTACATTATAGTGTATTTTAGGGCTGGTTTTGTGAGTCAAGCTTATACTTTTGATTATCATTTTTAGCTACAGAAGATATTTTAATGAAGCATATAATTGAAATTGTACCGTCTTCCTTGTCCAGAGAATAAGTTGAGCTCTCAGATTTTTCCAGAGCTTTTATCCTATGGTGATTCTACTGTTCTTCAGTGGTTACTCATGTCAATCTATTTACCTACCCAGTTTCAAACACTCCTGCTCAGAAAGAATATGACCTCCGTGGGCAGGGCAAAAGTCTTTGTTTGCCATTTAAAAAAAAAAAAAGAAAAAAAAATAGGCAATGTATGCATCCATACCCTAGGTGCCTGTAAAATTCTTTCCTTTCTCGGATTGATCCCTACAGCATTATCACTAATTTAGGAGGATATTAGTTTCTACTACTGTCTTTTCCTTTGACTTTGGGAACTCTTCTATGATGTAGGAAGAATTTTAAATCTTGGTAACAAGCAGACCCTTGTCATAAAGGTTTTACTAACTAAATGCTTCATTTGCAACAACAAACATTTATTTTGTAGCAACTCTGTGCCAGGAATAGTAAGAAGTACCAGAGTTGAAAAGATAAATGGCCTGATCCCTGCTCTAAAGGCAATCAGTCTGGTGTGGGAGAGATGGGAATTTAAATAAGGAATCACAACACAGAGTGAGATGCGCAACAACAATAGAAAATGGATTTTTAAAAACTGGAGGAAGCGATCCCAGGCACAAGAAAGGCTCCCCAGAAGAAAGGACATCTTCATATTCTAACAATGGTTTGCTTTGCCAATTGCATCCTCATTATGAAAATTTGTATGATGGATAAATATGTAATTATCTACCTAACTCCCCCATGCGGATAACTACAGCTCATATTTTTGTATATTTCCTTGCTTTTATTTGCTATACTTGTTTTTGTAAGTTTGAGATACTACTGTCAACATCATTTATTATCCTGCTCTTTTCACTTAATATTCTAGAACTATGTTAGAAATGGTTCTAGATTATTAGTGGTGCATCTTGAGCTTCCTTTGGCCTCTGAGTCCATAGGCAGATGCTGATCAAGGTCTAAGTTAAATAAACCAACCAAAGCCCCTGGGACGTTGGTGCTTATGTAGAATCTGCTCCTCAGGAGTCAGGACATTTTCGCAAGCCAGGCAGAATTTTCTACTGAGGTTAAACAGGAATGTGTCCTGGCTCCCTTTAGCTTATTACTTAATAAGTAATATTAAGGAATTGTTGTGCTGTTCACCTTTCAGCATCCCACCCCACTAGAGAAGACAGACAAAAGCAATGTTTCATATACAACTGATGTCAGTATCATCTGGGTGTGTGGAAGTGGCCCCGGAGGCAGTATGCCCTGCTGGCTTCCTGTCATTACAGTTGGATTGCAAATAAAATCTTCTAAAACTCAAGTTATTACCTTCCGTAGATGTGCCGCCACTTTTACCTTGCTCCTAAACAAAGTTCCCATACGACAGATTCCCTCCTGGAGCTACATTTTGTAAACAGTGTTTC